TTTAGTCATGCTTCTTTCAGTTGACATGTCCAACTGGCAGCTCCCTTTGTGACATCTTTCTTTGCAGCCTTGTTTGAGAGATGTAGAAAAATCACAGATAAGCAAACAGCTACACTGCAGAGTGAGAGAAATGGCAGAGGTAATTAGGCAAGTACAGGCCCAGTTGCATGAGGGTGAAAGGTTGGAAGCTCTCGTTCAAATCTCATTCCCCGTCACTGAAATCTGGCCATTCTGAACTGTACCAATGAAAGACTTCTGCGCTGCTCAACTCTTTTACTGTACTAATTTCCCCTGCCAGCCTCCACTGCCACACACACAATTTACCTTTGGAAACAGACACCCTCAAAACGGAATGTAACAGTAGGAATCAACAGCTACACTAGATACCTCTCTCTCTCTGTGTGTCTACAAGCATCCACTTTGCCTCCTGGACAAAGCCACGTGAAGGATGGCCCAACAGCCCAAAGAATATTCTAGGAAAGGAGACCCACATTAAGAGACAGCAGGATGCAGACTGACAGTGTGTCTGTGCATTGGCACAACAGCGCTTCTGAGCAGAAGGCAGTGATACAGCTCAAATGTCCACAAAGCAAGAGAGCATTCTCTAGCAAAGAAACAGCACGGCAAGAAGAAATGCAGGAAATTCCATCTCTTGGTAAGACTGCCATTAACTTCCGCAGGATTTTGATAACCCTTCTTCTAAACTGAAAGGAAAAGATTGTAGTCAATGTCATCTAAAATTACTGTCCTTACAGTTCTTCTTGACTTTCCCATCTCTTTTCAGTAGCTTTCCTGTTTAAAGAACACAAAGACCTTCAAAAATCAGCTGCAAGCAATTTCTTCATATTAAAAACAAACAGAAATTCTGAAATTAATCCCAAGGCAGCAGCAGGCTATGAACTAAGATCTAGTTCAAAGACGGATCTCTATCTGTTAATATGGTCAGTTCAGCCAAAATAAATCTTTATTTTCACCAGATGTCACATGTGGCTTAAGTATTCCCATGCAACTGCATTAGAATAATTTTCAGAGAGAAGACAGATCCTTCCCTGTACAATATAAATATAACTTCTGTGAACTGATCTTAAGATGATCCTTGATTTTCCTTTATTTTATGTGATCATCAGGCTTTTCAGGGATTAAAGTATTAAGCAAAGGTGGGTGCATCTAATAGACAGACTTGTGCCCAAATGGTTGCTAATCATGGTTCAGATGGGTTACACAGTGCCAGCTAACATCTGCAGGTACAGTTGAGTGAAGTAATTTGAAGCAAAAGAGAACTAGACTAACATTTTCAGTGCATTGATACTTTATTTTTATTTTTATTTTTTATTTTTTATTTTTGTTACGAAAGGAAAAAAGTTCTGGTTTCACAAACACCTTTAAAGAATGCACAATGGGGGATATGTTTTATAGAGATGGTAGACGATATAGTTACCTGAAAAAATGTAATGCCCTATTGAACAGCCAGGTTAATAAGAGTGAAGGAGAAACTGTGGGCAAACTCTGTAGCCCTTCTGCAATTCCAGGATCATAGAAGATTTATTTAAAGGCTCAGTCTTCAGGTTTCTCTGTTCTCATGATAATCTTAAATTAAATCGACAACAATTCTCTTCAGACCGTCATGGCTACATAAAAACCAAAACCAAAACCAAACCAAAACAACCAACCAAACAAAAGAACTAAAGAAAGCCTGAAGGCATCCTTAATTGGATGAAGACCTTAAAAAAATAATTCCTAAATATATTTTTCTATAAATCATCAGTTTCATAAGAAAGAAATGTTGCTTTCAGGACAGAAGGAGTGAAGATAGAACCTAGGAAAAAATGTGTTACTCTACATTAGAAATGTGTATGTTCTACATTATTAGCTGGAATGACATTCAGTTGTATCAAATAAAGTATCCAAGACTTCCTGTTTGTTCTGATCTACCTTACTAGTCCTGGACCTTCTCTTCTGAGGTGTCAACTGGCAGTTTTTGCTTGCTGTTTCACCACAGACAGAAAAGTATGTTAGCACTTCTATGTCACAGAAGTATGAAAAAGGAGACAAGGATCTCAGGCATGGAAGACAAAAAACATGATGAAAGCTGAAGGAGAGATAAAAAAGATTTGACTATTGTTAGGGGAGGGGTGAGATGTTAATATCACAGAGACTGTGCAGAAGGACACTCTTTGAAGGATGTGACCTTTGTCACCAATTTTAATTATGTATATGGAGATGGAAGGATGGACTTCAGACTCAATCTAAGGAAAAAAACAAAAACAAAAACAAAAACAAAAACAAACAAAATTCGATTGATAGTTTTAGCAGTAAATGAAAATCCCCAACCCTTCTGTGAGATGTGGTAACTGGAAAAAGTAAATATTAATGGAAAAGTTCGAATGAAGGACTTTAGGGAAAAGAGGTGGTTGTCATGTATCCAAAATGTCTGTCGAGTACTCTGAAACTGCAAGTTTCACAGTCCCCAAGAAAGACTTCCAAACCTCTAGACCAGCCCAAGCCACATGAATGCTTAGGGAAGTGTACGAAACCACTGCTTTCCTTTGGCCCATTCACCTAGGGTTGTTAAAGTTTCCTGCCTAGAGAAAAAGAATCTGCTACAGGGATTTCAGGAAAAATAGCTGTCTGGAACCACTATCACTTTTTTTTTCTAAAGCTATAATGATGACCAGTTCACCAAAAAATAACCAATTTTAACCAATAGTATTGGATTTCATTGATGTTCACCACCCAACACAAAAAAACACTGCACTTATTAGGAATGTTTCATAATTAAAAGTAAGATACTCCCCCACAACAATGACATGGAAATGAACATTTAAATCTAACTTTCTCACTCTTAAAATGTCATCTTTTTACCAATCACTCTTCCTGATGCTGTTTAGTACTTTACCGTGCATAGGTATGAGTCCTTGCCTTCACAAATATGGATCAAGGAGAAGTTGAAAGTAACAAGGGGTAATGAAGAGGAGAGATCTACATTTTTACTGAACATGATTATTTGCAGAAAGTTTTTCACACCAGTGCGATATTTAAAGAGACATTGTAGGAGTCTTGGTTGTTAAACCTGTTCATAAATCTCTATGGACAAAGCAGTCCAGTTTGCTAAACCTGTTTTTTTTTCTGTACAGCTTTTATATCATTCTTTCTTCTCCTTATCCAAACAAAGTTCGATGAAAACAGGGGATGAAGGTGATTATCTATGTTTTGAGATTACTTTTTTGTTTAATCTTCATTTTCTTATTCTGTCTGGACAGTTTGCCTATATCCTCTATCCTCTATTCCCTGCCCTCTCCTATCTCCCCCATGTCCAAAGCTTTCACTTTTTTTTTTTTCCCCAGTTTGATCACAACTTCATTTTCTCTGTTCCATGCCTGTTCCCCCTTCCTGCCTTCCTGAGGGTACACATCTCTTCCAACTTTGGGCAGACCAGAATGTACTTTGGAAATATCCTTCCAAACCTCCTCCCACAAGGAGTTAAACCTAATATTCAGGGAGCACTTCAATTTTAAATGTAAAATTTTGTGGCATTCTGTCTGGTTTAGCCAAAGAGCCTGAAAGAGAAAGTTTGTTCAGAGGATGAGAGGCAGCATGTGATAGTTTTTGATTTCTTGCTGGGAAATGCATAAACTAGGTCTGAAACAGGAAGCTGCAAAAATGTGGCATCCTCTCCTCTATGAAAATCTTGTGTTCACTAAAAGGGAAGTGAAAGAATTGCCAGGAGCTCCCAACTGGCTATTGATATGCAGTCAAACTTTTCACCCTCACAGTTCCACCACACCCTACTTTAAATCTCAGCTCAGATTATTTTTATTTTTTTTAAAAATAGCTCATGATTTAGTTGGGCCTACAGTTCACAGAGATTGTGTTGCCACTAAAAACAGATAGCTAAACATGAGCGGGTAGAATTCAAAGGATTGAAGCAGATATATTTATTTGTAATTTATTAAAAAGCTCTGAATGTAGATTAATGTTCCTTATTCAATACTTTTTTTTATTGTTTCACCTGCTATACAGTGGGAATTGCAAAGACTGTCTGGTTATCTAATCTGATTGTAGCTGCTTGAAGTGTCTGAGGATCTTCTGAGAAAACATAAACTAAGAAACCACCCACAGTAATACCTCCCAGCTGCCCTCTGAAGGTCAAGGCTCTCTGTGAGACAGCTCTAGGCTCTAGGACCCATTCAAGTCACAAGCAAGCAACTTCCCTTGCATACATGCACCTTACTTATGTCATTCACCCCTTCCACTAACATTTGCCTTGTTTGATCAGAGAAGGAGGCATGGAGCTGTTTTGTCCTTCATGCAAGAAGTCTTTATACCATAATCCCCATAACTGGCCTTTGAAGTTCTTGTTACACACATATTTATTTTTGGAATTTACTTTCCATTCTCTGTGCTGTGAACTGGATCCTGGATCTGATCATTTGGGGGCCCAAAGAAGCAAGCTCAAATATGGTAGAGGAACTCTCTAGGATGTTTTCATTTATCCCAGCAGGCACATGCAGCACACAGTGCAATATATACTGATTCCATCCCAACAGTGGGCCTTGTTTGGAGTTCTTTGTCAATTTTCCTGCGTTACGTTCTTGTCTCTTTCTTCCAATCTCTTTCTTCTTGTTACATCAGTCCCACGTGGTTAGATGGTGGCTCTTTTATGACTTTTTTCTTTTTCTAAGAGTTTAGTGAACCTTTCCTCCCCCTTCCCCTTCTTTCCCCCTTTTCTACCTTCTCTCAATTATCAGAGATTTTGTTGTATTTCTAAAGCTGAAGTAACCAGAATAAGATATACTATGTATGGTATGGTAATCCTATTTTTAGATATTAAAAAGTGCCGCACACAGAAATTGTTATATTTTGTGAACCTGGGATGTGTAGGAAAAGATTAATATTTCACTCCACAGTTACTTCTGTGTCTCCCCCACCAAAACACCCAGATTAGTTGCCCACTGGGTATACATGAAGACTGTATATTATTTTTGTCTCCTTGTTTCAAGTGCCAACTGATGCCTAGTAGCTGACCTTGTGGCTTGCTGAACATTCCTGGATTTATCTGGAGAAGAATCATGATCAGATTCCCAGTGGTGAAGAGTATGCCTTCATTCAAGTAAGGAAATGTTAGCAATATCAAAATCATTAGACCTCATTTCACTAAGGAAAAATAATTATTGGTAGAATTACATGTTGCATAGCTCATGACAGCAAAAACAGGTTTTCTGTTAACAGCTAGCAGCAACCTTTTCCATTTACACTGGACCTATATACTTCAACATTAGGCAAACGAATATTACAGAAAATGACTTAAAACTATAGCACCACAACTAATGAATTGTCATTTTCAGGACTAAGTTCTGTCACATCAAGTTAATCTATATAGTGTCCTGTCCAGCCTGGGATTTATTTATTTATTTATTTTTAATACAACAAAATAAGGTGTCCTATAAACTTTTGAACCTTTAAACTTTTTTTTTTTTTTTTTTTTTTTTTTTTTTTTTTTTTCAACAAAATATCTAAGTTAACAGGGGAAAAATACAGTTTCTAAATAAAGTCTTCCCCTAGGACGGCATTTTTGTCTTGCCAAATTAAACTAACCAAGACTTTTGTTTCTCCAGCAATTTAGCTTCCCAAGAAAAATACACCTGCAGCTATGAGGAGCCTTGCTCGAGCATGCAAGCCTTCTGTTTCATGAACAACATTAGAGGGCACTTCTGCATTGTGGTCGGCTTAAGCCAAAGAAAGGCAGAAGCCTGACCTTACCAGCTGAATTGTTCTTGAATTCAGAGGCAACGTGAAATCTGTTTCAGCTTCACCCAGATTAAGAACTTATTCTGTAGACAACCTCTTTGATCTCATTAAAGCTGCTGCTGGACCTGCTGTGAGGGAAGCTGGGGACTCATTCTTTATGAGGAGGTGAGTGGCCAGGGCAGTGAGGCTGAGATGTGGGCTCCCCTCCTGCCCCACATTCCCATGTTCCTGCATCCAAGAAACCCTGTCCCTGTGAGCTCCCACATGGTTCTAGGGGTGCTGAATCAGAGGCAGCTGTGAGAGCTGTATTGCAGGATGCAACAGGCATTACAGTTTTGACAGCTTTACTTTTTTTTTTTTTTTTTTAATTTATTTTTTTAGTCTTTCTGCATGTGATGCTCTTGTATCTTCTGTTGACAAAGGCACGTGATTAGTTTATAATCTCTGTTTTCACTGAAAGAAAAACAAACAGCTTTCTAACCTGTGTAATTGTAGACAAAAGCTTGAAAAGGAGATTCGAAAAGCTTCAATATCAGAAGGTCATTGGGAGGTAAAGTAAAATCTCAAGGTTTATTTGTTTATTTATTTTATAAATGCCATAATTTTTGAACTAGTTTCTTTATTTTAAGGGTGCTGACTCACATTTTAAGAAGGTTTCAGGTTAGCAGTGCAGACATAAGCAAACAAAAATCATCAATGTCATTAAATAGCTCTACTTTATCCAAAATCCTCTAAGCAGCCATTTTAATATGTGCTTTTCTTCAATGAAATGATCTCTTCAAAAGACACACAACATTATCAGCGCATGCAGAGAGAGCTCATTGGGCTTATTTTCCTGTTTACTGTTCTCCAAGGCCTGGCCTATGAAGTTGATCTTCTGAACCCAGACTCGCTGAAATTTGATTACAATTTATCCTAAGCCTCTCCCCATTATGAGGTAGAATTTCACAATATGCCTCAAGAGCAATCTTCAAAGTCTGCTATTTTAGAGACTATCCAGACAAAGCCTGCTTGGTTTAGGTATGAAGTTCCATTGTTTGCTTTGAAACTCCCCCTTCTCACTTGTAACATTAGGGAGAGGTTGTAGAACCTGTTATAAAGTTTTCTCTCAGTCTCACTTTGGGGACAAGGAAGTGAAAAAAGACAGAAAATCAGCAGGGTATCATAAAAATTTCAGTCTTTCTGGAGTGAGAACTCAAAATTTAGACCTTAAATTATTTTATGCAGTCCTATCCCAGGATATATAGCTTTTCATTTGAAATTATGTGTTCATCATTCATGACAAAATTAATGCTTGGCCTTCTCTCCAGCTCAGCAGGTACAGCTAGAAATCAGGATCCTGTAAAGACTCCCAGGTAGGTTGTTATCTTGAGGCTACACCTCACCTTCCATCACTAGTGCTGCAACCATTGCATAAGTAGAGTGCAACTTGCTGTATCAGTTAACTTGATCTGTGACTTTTCCTGGGCAAAGATCTTGGTGTTGTCCCCATTCATACATATTTGTAAGTAGCAGTCCTACAGAAGAATGGGGGCTAGTTGTTGCTAGGGCTGCCTGGTATAATGCACATGCTTCCGTGGGAGCAGTAACATTTGTGCATGTGTTCACCCACCCCTCCACCCCATTCAGGAGCATGTTTGCCACGCATCTAGGCAGCTACTCTATTCAAGTTTCAACCATCTGATTCATGCAGCAAAAAGTCTCCCCACAGAAAACATACTGGCTGAACTGCTTTGTTTTTCCTAGAGCAGTACAAACAGTTATTGCAAGGGGAATTTTAGGAAGATTGTGCCTGGCAAGGAAAACTCACTAAATAAATATGTGATGTTAATTATCCTTTGCCTATTTCAAGTGAACATTTCAAAGTGCTTTGCAAACCATTAATTAAACTGCAATTTAGTACCATGAGGTAGTTAAATATTATTAACACTGTTTTCTGCAGGTGGGAGACTATGACTCAGAGGGTGAAATGACCTGGATGAAGTCTGTCAGCAGCAGACCTGAGAGCCAAACCTCCAAATTTCAGCTCAGCAGCTGCCTGTTCTTTAGACCTTTGTATTGTGAAAAGATGTGGTTACCTTGGGGAGTATGATGAGTGCAGGTCAGAATTTGAACTGCAGGTCCAGAAAGCATGTAGCAGGTCACCCAGATAACAGAATGGTGACTGGTAGGAGAGGCGATTTCTGGGGCTGTGCCATAAACATGGCCTTGGAGCACCCCCAGTCCTTGGAGCACCTCTTGACTGATAGCAGGCTTAATTAGAACCATTAATTACATCTGTGGTTCTGATCTGTTGCTAATAACTCTGGTGACAGATTTCATGAACAAGTCTGGCATTTAAGTTTGTTCTGCACTTTTGGCAATTTTTTGGTCTACTGTTTCTCTGAAATGGCTCTACCTGATTCACTTACCCCACACCACCTTTGCCCTCCTGCATACACTTAACCTTTCCTTCCTAGTAAGCAGTAGTGTAAAAATGTCTTGGCTGAAATGTTCACAGAGCACTAGGAGTTGAGCCTCCCAGACCATGTATGTTGGCCACAGCGTCACAGCTGGTGGAGGACACATCTGAGGTTGAAGACTGACTCTTTGGAAAGAGGCACAGAGTGTTGTTTCCCAAAAGCAGGACATGGATAGTGGGGATGTTTGGCTAGCCCCTTGTAAGACTCATGTTTTGATATCTACTACTGAGTCCTGCCTGAGACATACTGTCCATCAGATACCCTGCCAGTTCCCACATTCTCCCACCCTCTTGTCTGATCTTCTTCCCTTGTTTAATCACCTTAAGCTTATTGTCAATGAAAATTCTAAATTAATGAAACAATAAAAGTACCATAAAAGTTAAGAGAAATTAAGAATTCAGAATAACTGGGAAAAGGCTCACCTAAGGCAAATAGTGAACAGGAGCAGACCTGTGCCCTAGGACCTGTGTATCTAACACTGTTCAGGAAAGGGCTGGAGGTGTTGGGAAGGCTAGCAGGGAAGGCAGTTTGCAAAGTTCTCTGGTTGGAGTGTTCATCTTTGGGATGGACATTTACAGCAAAACCAAGTAAAAGTGCAAAAGGTGGGGACTTCTTCTATATTCAACAGTCTGGCTTTTTTGCTGCTAGTACACGTTACACCATTTTGGTAGATGCTACCTTCCACTCCTTTTAAGAGATATAAATATCCCTCTTTTCAACTGCACTTGGCAACCATCATGATCTACTGGGAATTAGCTTTCTGAAAAGTAAGCTTTTTGTGGTGTTGGGGTGTTGGGGTTTTTGTAAGCTTGGGGTGTTGGTGCAGACAGCCTGAGGCAGGCCGAGTTGGTGACAGGATCTGTACCCAACTACCCAGAGGATGGACTTTTCCCTATGTCTCAGAGGCTGGGCTACCTCAGCTCACTGCCACCGTAGGGTAAGCTTGTCCTACCTGAGCATGGCAGTTCTCAGGCACCTAAACAATGCCCAAGTAATGCCAAGTGTCATTTGAAATATGATCCGTTATGTATATACGTGTGTTAAGCTATGCATTTTCTTATATGTATTTCTACATCTATGTATACATCTACTTACGCATTTTTCATTCACATACTTACGTAGGTAGGAGATATGGCCGATGAAAAGAAGCAGTGTACCACTAGATGGGGCTGCAGGAGGAAAAAGATGAATGTGGGATGGATTATAGGCAATTCATCATGATCAAGCTGAGTTGTGTGTTTAGTATCCTGGCTGTGTGGAATCTTTATTGAAAAAGATCAGCCATAATAGTAGCTTGCAGCACCTGTAATCTCACCACGGGAAGGGAAGCAAGCATGATTTCAAGCCAAAATGCACAGTATTTTACCAGGAAGAAAAACATTGTATCTCTTCAATTGTAAACTCTGGGTGAATGTGCTTATACATTCAGAGCATAAGGCAGATGGTAACAAACCACATGCTTGTGGATTATCCCACTTTTTCCACATTTGCATTCTCAAAACCACTTTTGGTGCCCGTGGTTTAACCTCTGTTTCCCTAACTCCTGTTTATGAGTTGAGTGGTCACATGTCATCATGTTGAGTGGGAAAGTGTGTACAGGGGATAAGGAGGTGGAAGTGATTCCATATGGTGAAACAACTGACTATGCCAGAGTATTAAAACAAAACAAAACAAAACAAACAAACAAACAAACAAACAAAAAAAACAGAAAGAGGAAAAAGCAAAAGTAAAATCTTTTGAAGAGATGGGGAAATGAAATGCTGAAAAAATCTGAAATGCTTTTGACTTCATATGAAGGAACAGTCATATGCATGTGAAAGGGAAACTTATGACTTGGAATGCTGATGATATAAGTTTTGGTGTTTGCAGCAAGGGCGAAGGTTAGACAGATTTACCTTCCTCTGCTCTGCACAAGATTCATGCTGAAGGCTGAGATTTCAGTCAGGAGACACTAGGCCCCTGGAAGACTGTGAAACTGCCAACTGTATTTTTTCTTCTAATTTTAAGCTGCTAACTAGAATAAAAAAAAAACAACAACACAAAACAACAAAAATTCCTTTAAAGCATTTTCTACAGTTCTGTTCACAATAGTATTATGAAGTAAGTGGGGCAATGTTAAGTATGTACTTGCACTTTGTTGAGACAATTCATTAGCAAAGCCAGTTCTTACGCTTCAGGGAAAGGCGAACAAAACACAGCAGATGTCCTTTATTCAAAGTGGGTAACAGGGGTCAAATTTTTTTATACTACTAGATAAGACAGGAATTATCACAAAAATATGGAATAAACAATGTTTTTATTTTTTTTATTATTTTTTTTTTTATCCCAGGTTCGAATGAAAATCAGACAATATTGATAAAAATCCATTGTTGCAGGATGAGGATATACAACTTTTGTGCTAGCAAAACCAGATTACAGTACCACTTTTGTCACCATAATCAGTTAATACTCCTAGTAGTTTTATTTAGGAAGATCGATCAAAGATGAATGGGAATACAACCCCAAAGCATACTTCTACAGTATAAGCTTTCATAGGTGTTGTGTGCTGTAAAAAAAAAATCATAAATGAAAGGGTGTTTTACCTAATGGGACTGAGATATCCAATTTTTTGAGTATACAACATTAAGCAGTTTTAGAAGGCAAGATCATCAGCTGCATGAAACTTCTTGAAAATCAGGTGTCTCTGAGAAATTTCTAGCTGGGCTCACAAAAGCAAATATATTTCTGAATATTTAGGTCAAAGGTCTTTGATTTTGAGAGTAAATCATGTAATCATAAACCAGTCCCAGAAAGGGGTTCAAAGACCAGCTCAACTGGCATTCCTACTGTTCATTATCAGTGGTTCTCAGGATCACAGACTGAATTGGAGCAGGTTTCAAAAGTCAGACTAAGAAAACAGCATGTGGTTCAAAAGCACTTAGCTTTGCCTTCAGGGGAAGCAGATAATCTTTGCCAATATACCAGGTGATGCATAGACACCAGGGTGAATTTCAAACTTCTCTTTGCCATCAGCTTCATTGTGGCTAGGATTTAAACACAGTTGTTTTAGGGACACATCCAATACTCATTTTATCAACTCAAAGGCTTCCATTGACCTACATGTATGTGCCGTCACAAATTGGTTTACTCATAATCACAACTCAGGAAAAACTGTTGCAATTCATTATTTCAGAAATGTATGTAGAACAGATTGGATCTGGGGGCAGGGGGAGCAGAGAGGTTGAGGTGCGGGGTCTGGAAATAAATGACAGTCCCAGGTCAGACTACTCCAGCTAGCTCCAGGGTGGCAACATCAAGCCTGCTTCACCCCTTTGAAAGTGGATTGGATTTCTCACAAAAGGTCTGAAACTTTCCCTGAAGCAGGTTTAAACCTGCAAATTGTCCCAAAACACTTTCCATCCCAATAGACATCCTATCACAAACCTGTTCTATATTCTGTAAAGCTGGCGGTGGGTGGCTTTCAGTTGACTTCCTCCCCACACACGCTCACTGCCCTTTGCTGCCAAGTCAGAGAGATGAAAAATCATATATGCTCACATTCACCAAGTGATCTCCAAAGCAACTTAATACCAGTTCAAGTCTTCCTTGTCTTATAAATTGGATTCGTTCTGTAGATTGTTTACCTACCACTTCTAGTGTGTCTCCAATAAATTAAAATCTGCTGAAGTGGTAAAATGTACGAAAGATATAGTGGATGGTCTGCAGGCTGTACAGTAGAACCATTATTCTAAGAGGAAGTAGGAAAGGCAATCATAAAATTTTGAAAAATTATGCAATAACTTTGTAGTTATTGCCCATCTGTATAGATTACAATGATCTACTTCACAGACATATAAATAGAACTGGAAAGTAAAAGATGTGCTGTTTGCCTCCAGATGTAGTACTAGGCTTCAGCAAATGAAATTCAATTAAATACTTAAGAAAAGGTCTTATAAGCATTCATCAACACAAGATATCTAATCACCTCTCTCCCCCACCCCCCACTCTATGTTTTCCCTCACTTTCACTCATCCCCACTCAGGACACCTTTAGAAGAAAGATGACTAAATTTAATTGCTTCATTTTCAGGGCAACCCTGAAACACTACATGACTTCATTCTCAGAACGCAACAAGTCCCATAAATCACACCTACTGAGTGCACCCATTAGAGCTCCAGTATGACAACTTTATGCCTAATACTCTCCAAACAAGGACCACACAAAACCAGGGCTTTAAAATCGCTGTTGACTCACAGTGGCTTTTATAACATGCACTCTGCTCAAAAAGACTTAACTTGTATGGTATTTAATCATGTTTGGGCATAGGAGACCTCTCTCTGTTTCAAGACAACATATGTTAAAACAGAAGTAAAAGCAGGATATATTTGGCAGAGTTCTTTCCCTTGCAGTTCCCACAGAGAAAAATGTCAGTATAATGGAAAAACAATTGTTTCATTTTGTAAAGAAGGAATCCTGATAAGTGTGTCTTCATAAAAATTGAAAAAAATGTGTGTTTCCATGACAATGGAAGAAAGGGGTGGGAAAGATGGTTTTTCTGGATTGATCCTCAACTGCCATATATCTGTGCAAACCCAAGGGAGCTGCTAGAGCTGTACTCACCCACTTGGGAGGCTAAATGTTTCATGGGTAGATCGTGCTTCCAAGAATATTTGCACCACTAGGCCTATGAGTGGTGTACTAACTGCACTGTAATGATCCCATTTGTGTCAAATGTGAGCATATACTCAATTGCATTGTCAAGCCACAGCACAGTGCAAACACCAGAGAGGAGTGAGCCCCAGAGAGGAGCTGACTGATGTTGTTCACGGAGTGAGGTAAACAGCTGATATTAAGTGATGGATATACAAAAATATCCTGGCCTAGCTGCCCTGCAGAGCCTGTAGCCTCAGAAGCAGAGGCTGCCACTTCAGGCTTCTGCGTGAACAAAGGGCACAGAAGGGGCTTGGCAGTGGATCCAAATATTTTCATGTGTTTAAACCAGGGCTCCCATTGCTTTTCTCCAACAATGTGACATGCATCACTACGTCTGACCAAGAATCAGTTATTCCTTCACACAATAGCATTTTTCCCTACCCTCCCTACGGCTACAAAAGAGACCAAGGGGGTGAATCTTACACACTGTCTAATGGACTTCCTTGCATTTAGAAGGCAAAACAAGGGGGGTTATATAATCAGGCTGACATGCAAACCAATAGAAATTACAATGGTACATCAGGGTACATTTCTTAAGTATTCAAACCACAGTGAAAAAAATACCCTCCACAAAACTACAAGGGTCTGACTGAAACCCACAAAAGCTGGGAAACACGGTAAGGTCTGACTGAAAGCCTGTCCTTATTTCACCCCTGAGGAAAACGAGAGAGTATAGATGGCATTGGCTGCTTTTTGGTGGGCCCCAAATATGCAGGAGAACCATTAAGCCTCACAAACCAAACATAAGGCTTGCAGCTGTATCCCCTCTCCCATTCCCAGACAGCTAGCATCTATCTCACACAATTTCAGGGCAGCACTGCAGCTGCCTTCCTTCTGCCTGGGTCCTTCACTCACACAGAAACCAACTGTGGAGCTGCTTCTCTGCTTTATAAGGTTCAAGTTAGCAACTGCCATACTTTTCACTCTGCTTACTCTTATCTCTCACAGAAAGTGGTTTCTGCAGCATCAACAATCCCAAAACAATAGAAAAAAAAATGTGAACAGAACAGCTCTGGATGCCTGTTTTCCTATGGATTTATGCCCTGTTCTGTATTCTTCATTTCCCCCTTCTTTATTACACCCACAGCACCTCCCTTCCTTCCCCTCTCCACAGTGGCCTGGCATATGCCTTAGTAGAATGCACATGCTGCCTGGTCAGCTGGTTGCTACCTTTTCAGGTGGATAAGGAACAAAGTTGTTATTATTATTATTATTATTATTCCACAGTGAAAGTGCTAATCTGAGTTTTCTTCCTCTACCCAGCTACCCCTTTTTTATGAAAATTCATAGTCACTTGTCTTCAATTTTTTCTGTGCTGTCAAAATGAGCTGGAGTGGAACAATTCCAAGCTCTTTACCATCTTTCCAGTGTTTTCTACTCTGTAAAGTAGGAAAGAAATTTTATTTTTGTTTCTGAGATGAAGAGCTAAGACTTGCAAGTATCAGAACACTAGTAAAGTATTTGTCATTTTATAGAATATTTAATTCTTAAGTATATCTGACAAATGGGGAGCATAGCCCTCAATCAAGAACTTAACAGAAGTTATGGAAATGAAAGGAGCTGAATGTAGTCCCAAATCCCAGACTATCATTGTAGTTCCATCCTCCTCCAGCCATCCCTTAGTGACCTATATTGTAAATAGCTGAGGATAAAAATAAATAAATTACATATATATGGGGAAAGAGATAAAAGAAAGACAGATTTCAATTTGATTTGTACAATTTTCTGGTCCTGAATTCCATAGTCTTAATTCACACATACACTTTAAATCACCTTGGAAAATTAGAGCTGTTGAGGAAGGCAAAGTCTATCTCATGCCCTGTATTATGAACTGATTTAATGACTCCCTATGCCTTCCCTAGCCACTGCTATTAGAAGGATACATTTCTCTACTGAAAGGCAGTTTTTAATTCTAAAAAAAAAAAAAAAAAAAAAAGATTAACACAATCCTATTAGAGTATACTTTTTTCTGTACCTCACTCTTCTGGATGGGAAGCAGCTTGCTATAAGGATGAGAGAAGCTTCAAAATGCTTACTTAAAGTTGGGGAATAAAACTGTCTCTAAAAAAAAAAAAAAATAAATTTGAAAAGCAATGCCTCTCATTCTTTATGGGTTGGCATGAGCCTGCAGGCTGATGGTTTGGGACACTAAGGCAATGGGTGCACCCCGTGAAAGACAAACCAAAAGTTCTGACACTGAAGCATAATGGTTAGGGCTATTAGGGCTATTCAAATAGTCCATCTGCTTTTGCTATTTTATTTTTTTATTTTTTATGAGTAAATGTGAAATAGTTTGGGGTTTCTGTTTAGTGTATTTTTTTCCCCCTCAAAGCAAGAGAGGGTATTGTTTAGCTGTTAGACAACAGAGCTGGGCAATCTTAGGACACATGTAATAAATAATGCAGAAAATGGTATAAAGACACATATCAAGTGTGGTCTCATCTACAATAATTTCTGCCTCATCAGAGATATAAGCTAGCTTTTAGGTTCGGAAAATCAGTGAAAAAGAAAGGATTATTTCAATTTACAGAAGAAATAAGTAACAAGGGATGAAATAAATGCCTAAGGATGAGAGAAGAATATATAATATCACAGACGTTCTTAAAAGGGAGAATTGTCATATTGAGGCAAGTTAAAAGGTGAGT